TGAAGAAATTATTTTGTAGATAAATAACAGAATATTATTCCATCATAAAAATGAATGAATTCTTGCTATTTGCAACAAGTGGATAGACCTTAAGGGCATTATGCTAAGTGAAATAAGTCAGATGGAGAAAGACAAATACTGTATGATTTCTCTTATATGTGGAATCTTGAAGGAAAAAAAAAAGACAACATCATAGAAACAGAGAACAGAGTGGTGGTTGCCAGAGTTGAAGGTGGGGAATGGGGAAAATGGGTAAAGGAGGTCAAACGTTTAAAAAAAAGTGAGTATTACATCTTGGTAAATTTATAAATCTACCAAATCAGATCTGGAAACTGAATTTAATAGTTTAAGGAAGAACTAGGTTTTAAAATTTGCCACATTAATAGGTCAAATATTAATTAAAGAACAAACAGAATGGGGTGTCTGGTTGATTCAGTTGGTAGAGCATGCAACTCTTGATCTTGGGTCCGAGAGTTCAGGCCCCATACTGGGCATAGAGCTTACTTAAAAAACAAAACCAAAAAACCCAGAATGGTTTCCAAGTAATCTTTCTTTGGGCACAAAAATCACCCTCAGTCATAATATACCAACACTGATAATTTGATGAAAATTGGGATGTTTTATTGAGAAATTCCTGCATGACAGCAGGTGTGGGTTATTTCTCTGTGCTGTCCAATTTTTCAGGAAAAATGCTCCAAGCTCTTGCCTGTGCAGGAGTACCCTGCAGCAGGGCTGGCTTCAAAGGTGCACATTTGTGCAGTCACGCAGGGCCCCGCACTCACAGGACCTCATACTTGTTTTACTGCCCTGCTGTCACTGTCTTGAAATTCTTAATCCTTTTTTTTAGACAGAGGCCCCACATTTTCATTTTGCACTGGGCCCTGCAAATTACGTAGCTGCTCCTGCTTGGCAGTCAGAGTTCTGGCAGCCACACAGGGAAGAGGGCTGGAGTCCTGAGGTTTAGTGTGTAGCTTTTCCCTGAGCCCTGTGTTTTCCGAGTTGCTTCACTTCCATCTCAGTTGGGCCTGTTGTCCACCAGTCCATGGCCTCTCTAGTCTAACTTCAGAAGATCCCCTTTCCTGCCAGGGTTGGGAAAGGGACTGTCAGAGGGCCATATGGGTTAGAGGAGGATATGGGAGACAGTTGGTCTAATCCCTCTACTTTTGCCTAGTTCTGTGGTAGGACTCAGCTTGCTCTTTGAGGCTTTCTCTCCTGCACCCACTTGCAGAGTGGAAAAAGAACAAAATTAGTTACCAGTTAGTCTATCCCCCAATTTTGTCAACACTCAAGTCTGCCATATCACCTCTCTCTTTTTTTGCCCATGTGGGTTCATGCCTTTGTCCTTTTACTTTCATATTAGTGAGGTTTTGGAAGACAGGAAACAAATGCCAAGTGTTCAATCTGCCATGTACGGCCACTAGTCTGAATTCAGTTTCCATAGAAACAACTATTTTTCCCTTTATCACTCAATTTTTGTTGGCTTATATAATAATTAAGTTATGTAATTACAGTTACAACTGGAATAAATAAGTTTAAGAACAAACCCAGTTGACTACACTTAGAATTATGTGGGCATCAGTTAATTTATTTTACAGAGGAATGAAAATTGTGGTTAAGTTGGGCAAGTTGGATTAAATGGAAATTAGTTAACTGAGCTTTTATTTTAAATAAATGAATGTAAGACATCCATTTAAGAAGGCTCATTATTGAAAGTCTAAACAATTTGGCTTCTTGGACAACCAGTGTGAAAAAGCTTATGTCTTTAAAACTGCTGGAGCGAGCAAATGCCTCTCTAAGACCAGGCTCTTTTCTGCACTTTATGAGTATTATGAATGTGTTCAGACCGACTTCCTGGACTCTGGACCTTGGTCTGTCCTAATTCCTACCTATTCCATCCCACCTCTGTCTTGATCTCCTAGTTGGATTTTTGACCTGCTTTGACCTAAATGACCTTGGTTGGCATCTGTGAGTTGATACCTTACATTCCCTTTAAGGATCCCCTTCATAAGTACCTGGTTCCTCCAGTGTCTAACCTTTTAGGGATTCTTCAGGGCAAAGCTGACCTGCCTCCTATTGCTTCCCTTCTCTACAGAAAGTCAGGTTTCAGCTTCTGTGCTGTAAGTCAGTTATCCATTCATTTCTTTACTTTCTGTCTTCCAAAAGTCTGGTATTTTTCATCTGTCTTCTCCCATATTTGTCTTTGAAGGGCTTACGGCTTTAAAAAAATTATTCCTTTACTCTCAGTTTAGCATGGGTTCCAAAGAGAGGACAGTGACTGCTTATTTTCAGTAGGTCCTGTTTAGCCTCCACTCCTGCCATGGTGGCTTCCCATTTTCTAAGCCCTTGGTATTCTGCTTCTCCAGAAAATAGGACCCTTCCTTTTGAACTTTCCAGACAATTTTAAAAAAAGATACCTACCCAGCTACTTCCTGGGACTGCCTAGCAGAGCACTCTTTGTTCTGTGGTTAATATGTAGTCAGGAACAAGTCAATGTGAATTAGCTTTTGTAAATATTAGTTAAAAATTAGGAATTTATCCATCTCTTCTGAGTTGTCCAATTTGTTGGCATATAGACTTTCATAATATTCTGTTATAATTGTTTGTGTTTCTGGTGTTGGTTGTTATTTCTCCTCTTTCATTAGTAATTTGTTTATTTGGGTTCTATTTTATTATTATTATTTTTTAAATCCACTTTTTTTTTTTTTTTTAAGATTTTTATTTATTTGACAGAGAGAGACACAGTGGGAGACAGAACACCAGCAGGGGGAGTGGGAGAGGGAGAAGCAGGCTTCCCACCAAGCAGGGAGCCCAATGCGGGGCTTGATCCCAGGACCCCAGGATCATGACCTGAGCGGAAGGCAGACGCTTAACGACTGAGCCACCCAGGCGCCCCCTCTCTTTTTTTAAATGAATCTTGCTAGATGTTTATCAATTTCATTGATCTTTTCAAAGAACCAGCTCCTGGTTTCATTGATCTGCTCTATTGTTTTTGTTTTTTTTTTAGTTTTTATGTCATTTTTTTCCTATGTTATTTATTTCTGCTCTAAGCTTTATTATTTCCTTTCTTCTGCTGGTTTTGGGTTTTGTTTGCTTCTTCTTTTTCTAGCTCCTTTAGGTGTAAAGTTAGGTTGTTTATTTGATATTTTTCTTCTTGAGGTAGGCCTGCGTTGCTACAAACTTTCCTCTTAGAACCACTTTTGCTGCATCCCAAAGATTTTGGACCCTTGTGTTTTCATTTCCATTGTTTTCATGTAATTTTTTATTTCTTTTTTGATTTTTTGGTTGATCCATTCATTGTTTAATACCATGTTATTTAACCTCCATGTATTTGTGATCTTTATGGATTTTTTCTTGTGGTTGATTTCTAGTTTCATAGTGTTGTGGTCCGAAAAGATGCATGGAATGACTTCAACTTTTTTGATTTTGTTGAGACTTGTTTTGTGGCCTAATATGTGATCTATTCTGGAGAATGTTCTGTGTGCACTTGAAAAGAACGTGTATTCTGCTGTTTTAGGATGGAATGTTCTGAAGATGTCTGTTAAATCCATCTGGTCCAGTGTGTCATTCAAAGCCACTATTTTCTTGTTGATTTTCTGTTTGGATGATCTGTCCATCGATTTAAGTGGGGTGTTAAAGTCCCCCATTATTATATTAGTAATGACTATTTCTCTTATGTTTGTTATTAACTGTTTTGTGTATTTGGGTGCCCCTATCTTGGGTGCTTACATATTTACAAATATTATATTCTCTCATTGGATTGTCCCCTTTATTATTATGTAGTATCCGTCCTAGAAGGAAGCATTGGCGAGGATGTGGAGAGAAAGGAACCCTCCTGAACTGTTGGTGGGAATGCAAACTGGTGCAGCCACTGTGGAAAATAGTATGGAGGTTCCTCAAGGAATTAAAAATAGAACTACCCTGTAGTCCAGGAATTGCAGTACTGGGTATTTACCCCCAAAATACAAAAACACTAATTCAAAAGGATACATGCACCTCTGTGTATTGTAGCATTATTTACAATGGCCAAACTATGGAAGCAGCCCAAGTGTCCATCAACAGATGAATGGATAAAGAAGATATTTTATACAAACACACACACACACACAATGGAATATTATTCAGCCATAAAAAGAATGAAATCTTGCCATTTGCAACAACATGGAGAGAGCTAGAGAGTATAATACTAAGTGAAATAAGTCAGAGAAAGACAAATACCATATGATGTCACTCATATGTAGAATTTAAGAAAAAAAAAATGAGCAAAGGAAAAAAAAAAGAAACAAGACTCTTAACCATAGAGAACAAACTGAGGGGAAGTGGATGGGGGAATAAAGAACACAGGGGATAGAGATTAAAGAGTATACTTATCATGACAAAAAAAATCAAATGATAAAAAACATCAAATGAGCTATTGTAGAAGTGCTCTATAAACTGGAAGGTACCACCAAAAATAAAAATTATTATTACATCAAAAAAAAAAGAAAGTGAAGATTTTTTTGGTAATTATGAGTCTGTGTGTATATTCATAACATACTCCTCAATTAGTAAATCAGATTGTAGTTATTTTGCCACATGCTCCCCCCCGCAACTGTACGTGTGTATAGAGCTGTTGGTCTTCACAATGTTTTTTTCATAGGAGTTAATGTTAATTAAATGGCAAATAGATCAAAGATAAAAAACATTAGGGAACTCTTTGGGATAAAGGTATAGTGCAATTAAAGCCAAGCTAAGTCTGAGAAATTGCAAAATAGACTCATAAGGTCAGATGAGCTTTTCTCTTGTGACTATAACGAGGAGAATAGCAGTTGGGAGTTAAAACTTTCCCTTAGAACAAGTGGGCAGTTGTAGCATTTCCTAAACTCACAGCAATTATTTTTTGTACAATTGCATGGGCACTTTCAGATTCAAAGATCCTTTTCTGGGAGGTGGGTGAACTTAAATAGTTCTTTTCATCTTTTGTTAGTATATAACTTTTTTACATATGTATTTTGTTTCTGCAGGAGTATAATCACTTCCTTGAGTAGAGGATGTTTCCGACACATCTTAGCATCTTGTGCCAGAAGAATAGGGGCTTACCGTCAGGATCAGGTAATGTGCATGAGCTCATTTAATTAATTTATTTTTTTATTTTTTTCAGGGTGTCTGGGTGGCTCAGTCAGTTAAGCATCTGACTCTTGATTTCAGTTCAGGTCTTGACTCTTGAATTCAGCTCAGGTCTTGATCTCAGGGTCGGAGTTCAAGCCCTGCATTGGGCTCCACACCGGTCATGTAGCCTACTTAAAAAAAAAATCATCTATTTTTAGTTTTGAGAGGGCGTGAGCACGTGTGCGCATGCGTGGGGTGGGGCAAGGCAGAGAGAATCCTAAGCAGGCTCCATGCCCAGCACCCAGCCGGCAGGGGGTTTGATCTCATGACCCTGAGATCATGACCTGAGCTGAAATAAAGAATCAGATGCTTAGGAGCGCCTGGGTGGCTCAGTTGGTTAAGCGTCTGCCTTCGGCTCAGGTCATGATCCCAGGGTCCTGGGATCGAGCCCGGCATGGAGCCCTGCAGCGGGCTCCGCATCGGGCTCCCTGCTCAGTGGGGAGTCTGTTTCTGCCTCTCTCTCCAGCTTGTACTCTCTCAAATAAATAAATAAAATCTTTTAAAAAAATCACACAGGCCTGTACCCCTGAAACAAATAATACATTGTGTTTTTAATAAAAAAAAAATCAGATGCTTAATTGGGCCACCCAGACATCCTGAGCTCATTTAATTTTTATAACAACTATGAGGGTGGGGGCTATGGCTCTAATTTTACAGATGAGGAAACTGAAGCACAAGGGACACAGCTCCAGTAAGAGGTACAGCTGAAACTGATTCGCCTTGACTGATGAAGCAGGTTCGCTAAATCCTACCCTCGGATCCGGCAGCATTTGTCTTCAATGAACAGGTTGGGTGCTTCCTGGACAGAGATCTGGGATTCATGGACCTTACAGAGTAGGTTGCATGACTACTTGCTAATGAATGTTTGACGAATTTGGCCTGAGGCTTTCACTTTAACATAGCATCTGGAATAATTGTGGAGGAGTCCTATAGCTCCACCTATCTCTTAACTATTGGAGGCTACTTATGTCTGCCCAAAAGAAGCTAGTAAGTGGGAATGACCAAATTGACAGGTTAATTTATAATTTTCTTCTTCCTAAGTTATCTCCAACTAGAAGGACTGTAGTCCCAGAATCTAATAATGTGAGGATTTATGGTACACTTCCATGTGGTCACCACTGGAGTGACTGTCTCTGACATGAAGCCCTCCCTGAAGAATGTCAGCATTTGGAACATGGCAAGGCCTGTGGGCTAAGATTTCAAACAAGCAGCAGTTAGAAATTTAAAGTTGTCTCCAAACATTGTAGGTCTCCTGGGCATTTCCAGTTCCAGTGATCAAAGCCACTGAAGATAAATGATTGTAGCTGTCACAGTGGCTCCTCCCACCACCCTTTTGTGTCACTGTCAAGGAAATCCTGCCCTAGTGACTCTCTCCTCTGCATTTATCTCGGATGGCCCCATTGGATGCTCCCCTAACTCAGGTAGCTCCAGGTTCCAAAAACACTTGAGATTGTTGTCCTGGCTGGTTGTTTCTTTCCTTTTTTTTTTTTTTT